CCACCCTCACAACCCCTTGATAGATTATAAATTATTATTTCCATGTCTCACACCAACCACTGTCTCCCTTCCCCATGATGTCCGCTGTTCTTTCCCCGGGAGGGGTGTGTGCGGTTGTGTGTCGATCATTGTGATTGGTGATAGCCTCTCTTAAAAAGGGAAAAATTCATGAAATTTATCTGAATTTCATCACTGAGTTTATAAACTCTGCAAGTGTTTTCACTTGGTGGACAAATCTCTTAATTCTTTTTTAACATTGCTTTTTTCTAGTTTTTAATTCCTATTGTAACCTGTGAGGGAGCTTCAAAAGTCTATGTACATTTTTTTTGTTTTATTAGAGAATGCTTCTTTAGTATTTTTTTTCCTAGCTAAATGCTTAAAAATGTGTTTGCTTTGAAGATTAGCCTTACCTGGTTGGTGTTAAAGAGACATCATTTTCCCAAGACCTTGATTGATTTTTTGTTAGAGGAAATTAATTCTTGGACACGCGAGCAGATACTTTACTAACCCCATTAAATTTTTTTTTGACAAATACATAACAGAAACTTGTATAAGCACCGGTCATTATGTCTTACTGGGTCATTTCCCAAAACCATTTGTTAGCATCCTAACAATTGTGATTTGCTAGTGTATGTAAGGCCCCGTTGTGTTGTGGGTTACCCATTTGGCTGCTCCTCAGGAGAAAAACGAAGCTTTCTGTACCTGTGAAGATTTACAACCTTGGAAACCCATAGGCACAGGTAGTTCCAGTCTGTCTTATAGGGTGGCTGTGAGGTTAAGTATGGCAATTTTGTTTTCTGAAACTATCATGCTGCTTAAAACAATATATTTTGGCAAATTGATAAACTCCACAAAGTTTATAATGTGAGAATATATGGTAGAAAAGCCAGTGTGTTATGATTCAGGGTATCTGCATATTATTCTTTTTTTTTTTTTTCTGCATATTATTCTTGATAGTAATTGAATTTTACCAATTTCATCCAAATTTTACCTATTTCTCAGCCTTTCAGTAACATCTAAGTGTTTAATCACTGGCACCAGGGCTCACTGTATATCTGTGTTATCATTACCTACGTTCAGACGAACATAATCCCAAACTATCCCATAGAGTTCATTGCTGCAGTAGCTGTGTCCTTCCATTGTGTACATCTCATTGGACTTAACTATACAGATAGGAACTGGAAACACAGGGAATCCAGGGCAGATGATCCCTTCAGGACCAGTGGTGTGAGTGGTGATACTGGGAGGGTAGAGGGAGAGTGGGTTGGAAAGAGGGAACCGATTACAAGGAACTATATGTGACCTCCTTCCTGGGGGACGGACAACAGAAAAGTGGGTGAAGGGAGATGTCGGACAGGGCAAGATATGACAAAATAATAATTCATAAATTATCAAGGGCTCATGAGGGAGGAGGGAGTGGGGAGGGAGGGGAAAAATGAGGACCTAATGCCAGGGGCTTAAGTGGAGAGGAAATGTTTTGAGAATGATGAGGGCAATGAATGTACAAATGAGCTTTACACAATTGATGTATGTATGGATTGTGATTGAGTTGTATGAGCCTCTAATAAAATGATTAAAAAAAAAAGAATATAAAGCCTCCTGCCGTCTACCATACAAAGTTGAAAATTAAATGGTTTAACTTTTTCAAGTACTTTTTGTTGATAGACTTGTGACCCTTTCCAGAAAATCTCTTTCATTTCTACAGGTATTGTTGATAAAGTGTTAAAAAGAACTCTGTGCCATGAAAAGAACGTTATTTTTCATATTGCGCTAACATTTTAATTTGATCTTAATTTCTCATTTCATAGAAACAAACTGTAATCCAAGTCTACTAAGCATCATTGGGTACAACACAACAAGTACCACTCCAAAGGATGGGCAATCTGTCCAGTGGTGGCATGCTCAAGGAATTATAGGGTTAATCCTCTTTTTATTGTGTGTGTTTTATTCAAGGTAAGGAAAACTATGACTCTCCTTTTGTTTTTAAAGAGAAATCCAGTTATACGGCTCATTTCCTAAGGTATTGCCCTTTTTTCTTCTCTGCCTAAATCCTTTTTTTTTTAAATACAGCATCCGTACTTCAAACAATAGTCAGGTGAATAAACTGACGCTAACAAGTGATGAATCAGCATTAATAGAAGATGGTGGAGCCAGAAGTGATGGCTCACTGGAGGACGGAGATGACCTTCACCGAGCTGTAGATAACGAAAAAGATGGTGTCACTTACAGCTACTCCTTCTTCCACTTCATGCTTTTCCTGGCCTCGCTCTATATCATGATGACCCTTACCAACTGGTACAGGTACTTAGACTTCAGGACAATTTGGATGTGGGGATTTTTAGGACTTTTTAATCACAAAATCTGAGGGGAGGGGAAGTGCTTTTTATTCTTTGGTGAATTTCAAAATATTCAGCTAAGTGTATACTGAGATCAGCCTAAGTGCTTTAAATAATAACAGAAAAATTGAAATAGTCCCAAAGATTAAAATAGACAATCTTATAAACCTATTTCTTGTAGTAATACAAAATTTTAAACTTAGCCCCAGCATAACATTTATTTTTACTTAACTTTATTACCATAACCTGTTCCTGACATTGCACAATTTCTATTGAATTTTGTCATGGACAGTTCTCAGTGAGCTGTGAGCACAGTCCATCCATCCAGATGCCTTCTTTGACTGCTTCTGTTGGACCTCTGCCCCTTCCAAACTGACATCAGTCATCTTCTGGCAAAAAGAAGGCAGTAATTTATATGATTTCATTTTTGAGATTTTTTTATTACTATTTTTTCCAACTGATTCTGGAAAGATTTGGCTTAAGATGCAGTGAACTAAGTATATGGCTTGCACGTTTTTCTTTTTCATACTTCCTTGTGATCAGTTTATCGGTGCTCTTACAGCTCTTCTAACAGCCCATCCATCAGTTGTTTCAAAAGTCTCTATATTTTTAAATGTCTGTACATGAGCATATTTAGAAAGATAGGACCAAATCTTAAAAATGTAAGATTGGCTGTGAGGTAGTAGATTTGAAGACTTTGGGTTAAAAAACAATTTTTGTTAAGTGTCATGAACTAATTGTGTGAATCTAATAAGCTGTGTTGATGATGTGGGGTGACATTATATACACTTGGAATAGGTATGGCTTTAGTAAAAGTAATTTCTTATATATGCTTAGGCCATATTTCATATCTCTGCCTTCTAGTAAGTAACCGTTAATCCAGAAATAGTCTTTTGAGTATTGTGTAAACTGTGTCAAAGCCACCGTATTTTAGTTAATTTTAAAGAAAATAAATTTTTCCCCACCTTTAGGCCAGCTATTAAGATAGTGTGGAAAGCAAGGCCTCAGTGTTGGAGGAACAACGATTTATCTGTTATCACAAATTATATAGGAAGATTCCTTAAGTACTGAAGTTACTTAGTAGCTTGAAGACTAATCATCTACCACTTGCCCTCCCTTTTCTGCTTTCCTTCTATAGGTATGAGCCTTCTCGTGAGATGAAGAGTCAGTGGACCGCTGTCTGGGTGAAGATCTCTTCCAGTTGGATTGGCATTGTGCTCTACGTCTGGACACTCGTGGCGCCGCTGGTTCTGACAAATCGTGATTTTGACTGAATTGGGGCTTCTGGCATGAAAGTCCTACGTGAATCATTGCTTATTTGAAATTGACAGTATTCCCCAATTTTGTAAAGCGTGTGTGTGCGTGTGTGTGTGTACCTAAGTGTGCATCCACTTCCCACTAACTTCATTGTTTGTCTAGCATGAATTAGGTTGTACAACTTGTTACTTTATTATTTTCTTGCCAAGGCCTTTGATATATCTGCGCTAGTGATTGCAGGGAAGGTTATTATGAATGTGGTAGTGAGTCAGGAAAATATCCGAGGAAATGTAAGACTGCCTTTTCAAATTTTGATGCCTTGCCTTTTAAGAGACAATAAATAACTTGGCTATTATAAAAATGTGTAACCAAATCACATCAAGACCAAATGTGTGAAGAATTTCGTCATGTTTTCCACACGTGGTAGAAGTTTAGGAATTTACACAAGTAGGAAATGTTTGATGAAGCAGCGTAGGTTATATATAGGGGTTGAAGTACACTCTTCAAAGAAAGATTGACAATAGTTGGTATTAAATTGGATAACCAGTTAGATTGTAATCTTCCTTGAGTAGGGCTGGCCTTCTTCCATGCCTATATAGTTTTGTTGTAGGCATTTATAAACACAGGTGAAAGGGGGTTTGCTGAAGAATGCGAGGTTTTGAAATGGAAAGTCATAGGCTAGGAAAGAAGTTAATTAAAAAGATGAAGTTAGTGTTGTAAAGATGTGATAAACTTCACAGGGCAAGAAGAAACAAATATTGGGATTCAGTAGGTACTTAGCAAAAGTGAGTCCAATTCTCATTTTCAACACGGGGAATAAAAAGAAAACAACCCTGAATCACGGATTTAAATACTTCACATAACTAATTAGTGACTAAGCTGGGAAATTTAGAGTTTGTCAAATATGGCTAGCATTCATTTGGGCATTCAGAAATCATTTCTATTCATAATACATGCATATTAGGCTTATTTCATCAGTGGTGGGTAATTCTCATGATTGGGGTTGCTGGTACTCAGCATGTCTTTTGCCCAGAGGCAGGCCAGCCGAATAAGGGAATGCTGTAGAATCAACTTCTGCTCATAGTACAGTGCGCATTCATGAATTGTTTAAAATGCTTTTGTATTTGCTGCAATGTAAGTGAAATGTATATAATCTTTCAGCCTGAAAATCAAGCAGTATGATGATTAACTTAGAAATGCTTATGTGTACGTGTCATTAGTCAGTGAAGCATTGAAAAGTCTACATTTGCCTCTTTCAAAATATTTATTAATATAATGGAATACAATTCAACCTAATTCCCCAACCTTGTTCTGTATGTTAATATTGCGTTCCATGATTTTGAATGACTGTGGTCTACCTATAAATAAATGAATTCAAAGTATACTGTTTTAATTTTTCAGCAACTGATGGCAGTAATACTCAAACCAATTTTCTGCCTCTGTGGAAAAAAAAACCACCTCGCATTGTAGGATTAACTAGGCCTATTTTCTGTCCTGAAAATAGAATTGTTTTGAAAATAATCTTAACCCTTTGACTGTAAGTAAGCCCTAAGGTTATATTCTAAAGATAGTTAAAGCGTTTCCCCCAAGCCTTCATGATGTTGACCGTGCCATACGGAGAAGAGTTTTCGTTCAATTAATAAGCTGTTGCACACCTGCTGTGCTCTCCAGGGTTCCCCACCCATCCTAGTGGCTGGTTATCCTTTCCCATCCTCACACCTAATATAAAAAAACCACCTTTCTTAACTTACAATATCCTAATAAAAACACTATAAAAGAATTAAGTTTTAGTTATCTTTTATTCAATGACTCATGCAATAAAAGTTTTTTTCATTATTATAGGCAGAACAGTGCTAAATTATTTCCCACCTAAAACAAGTTCTAATACCATTGCTTTGCATTAAAGTGAAAGGATAAATGAGTTCATCAAATAAGTATATAATATTACACAAAATATTAAGGATATTCTGGGGATAGGTACTGAAGAGTGGGTAAAGACAAGATTTCTTAGGTAAAAAAAGCTAGTACTTTGTCTTAATTTCATTCTTTGAGTTAATTCATACTATTGCTTAGGTAAAAAGCAGGTAGCTCTTATGTTAGACTTCAAACAAAAGTCGATAGAAATTTCAAACCTAAAAAATTAGAATATTAGGAAATTATGATAATCTTGGAATCAGCTTTTTGCTTGTTTGATGGGGCCCTTTGCTACTGTAGTTGTCACATAGCCTTGTCATGATTCAAGTTTTTCTAGATTTTTTTGTTCAGCTCCAAATATAGGAAGGTAAACCAAAAAACATTGGTACAAAATCACGAAAACTTATTAAAAAGATCAAAATGTGAATCTTGCTTCTCAGTATATCCAACTTCTGAAAGTGATAATTCCATCTCTCAACCCTCCCCCAACAGCAACTGCACTCTTGATTTATGCCACATCAAAGTGGCAGTTTTGGCATCCTTGCATTCCTTTTACATGCTGTGTGGGAAACAAAAGGGGTAGAGTTCAGGGCTGAAGGATGGATGAGGTCATGCTTAACAAGAACATTCGTATAGGACAGCCCTTGCCACCCTCAAAGTAGAAACAGGTCCCTTGTGATGAAACAAAACAAAAAAGCAGCTGTCCTGGCCTTTTTCTCACCAAAGCAGTCTCTAATTTTCTTATAATAAACTCTAATCATGTGTCCTCTGAGAAAATCTATTGAGATCGCCCTTCGATATCCCAAGGAATTATATAAGCTGTGCTGATCCCCTTAGAACAGCTGCTCTCAACCTGGGGGTCGAGCGACCCTTTCACAGGGATTGCCCGATTCATAATTAACAAAATTACAGTTATGAAGTAGCAACGAAAATAACTGGTTGGGGGTCACCACCACATGAACTGCATGAAAGGCTCACGACATTAGGAAGATTGAAAACCACTGCCTTAAGAAGTCGTTTTGATTGGGCCTTTTTTTTGGGAAGGCACCCTAAAATGACTAAGACGTGGACCACTGAGAGAACTTACCTACAGCTATCCACTGTCGGTGGACACGTACTTAAAACATTCTGGTAAGAGTAAATCTGCATATATGAACTGGAAATGCAGTAGCAACATTTTTTCCTTTGTGTCATGTACTACATAAAAGACCACATGGGCTCCTTTTAACAAACGTATGGTGTGGGGACATTCACTAGCAACTGTGAGAGAAGTCACTCTTGGTCTGGAATTATAAAAATATTGGAGGTGAGTATGATTCACACGCTGACATCCTGGGGGCAGTTTTCTGCTAATTGGGGCAGTAGTTAACAGGATACGCTTTGATCTGCATGGTGGGCAGCTGGACCCACCAGCAGCTCAGCAGGAGCAAAGACGAGACTTTCTACTCCCGTAAAGTCTCGGGAACATACAAGGCGGGTCACCACAAGTCAGCAATGATTCCAGGGCAGTGAGTTTGATTTTTTTTTTCCTAATTAAAAGGAAATGCTTGGTAAAGTAGACGGGGCAGCGAAAAAGAGAAAGACCCTTGACAAGATGGATTGACAATGGTGGTTTCAACCACGATCTCGATCGCAGCAGGGCGGAGGAGAGCTGAGCAGTGTTTGCTTCTGTTGTCCATAGATAGGCTCGCTGTGCATCAGAACTGACTCACTGGCACAAGAATCGAACGGCCTGCATTCTTAAAACCTGCAGGACAAGAATCAAGGTTTGCCCACGTGACGTGCAAAGTGGTAAGAAAGGGCAAAGGTTAGTCGGTACGGTAAAAACTGCGAAAAAGGGAACAATGGTAAAGTTTGCTTAACTTTTCTTAATGGTAGGAAAATAAGTCTCCATTGAAAATTTAATTTCAGACTTTTTCTTTCAAAGATAAGTGATTTCAATTTATAGTACCTGCATGATTCTAGATAGGTGATTTCAATTTATAGTACCTGCATGATTTTAGACTCCGCCTTAAGTTTTAGCTAGAATTGCAGTCCCTGTCTGGTAACACTTAAAGCACACAAGTCTTGAACTCTATACTCTCAACGCAGGTCAGACGCCATTGACAGACCTCGCAATCAACATATTAAAAAAAAATTAAAACCAAAAGCTATCATGTGAAAATCTTAAAAGAAATCTGAGGAATCCCAAAGCTTCAATAAAATTACTACATATTTCATAGTTTAACTTTTTAAAATATTTTGACAAGGGATGTCACTACTGAGACATCAAATGGCTCTTGACTGAAACACAATACCAGAAAGATGTTTACCTGTGTTGTTACTGATTCTGCAAGGGCATTTGTGTGGATCACAAGAATCAATTGTAAATACTGTAGGAGATTGGGCATTCTAAAACTTAATTGTGTTCATGTGCATCCTGTACATAGACAAAGAAGCAGTCGTTCAAACAGAACAAAGGGACACTGCATGTTTCAAAATCAGGAAAGGTGTGCATCAGGGTTAAACCCTTTGAAGCATACTTAATCTTACACTGAGCAAATATGAGAAGCCAGATTATGAAGAATGCTACAAGAGAAGTGAAGGAAGGTCTATTAATATTAATGAGTCAGAACTGACCTGATGACGGTGACTTGAACAGCCACAAATCAAGATCAGAAATGTTAATACAGTTCTGTTGCCCACAGATGTTTTGTGCCTGCTGTCTTCCACTCTGTGGTGCTTGGTGTCTTAGCTATGGGAGGCCTTGGTCTCTGCCCTGTTTGAACAAAGAGCACCCCACTGCAAACTGTATGTATTATTCTATCTCTATGCTGAGCAAATCATCAGAGAAACTGGATTATATGAAGAATTCGGCATTAGATTTGGAGGAAGGTTTATTAACAGCAAATAACAATCTTAATTGCTGAAAGTAAGGACTTGAAGCACTTATTGATGAAGATCAAAGATTGCAACCTTCAGTATGGATTACAACTCAATGTAAAGAAGGCTAAAATCCTCACAACTGGATCGATAGGTAACATGCAGATAGGTAACATCATGATAAATGTAGAAAGGACTTAAGTTGTGAAGGACCTTATCTTGCTTGGATCCACAATAGATACTCATGGACGGAGCAGTCAAGAAATCAAAGGTTGAATTGCATTACTGAAAAGTAAGGATGTTACATTGAAGACTACAGTGCACCTGACACAAATCATGGCATTTTCAACTGCCTCATGTGCACGAGAAAATTGGACATTGAATAAGGAAGACTAAAGAAGAATCAATTTGAATTGTGGCACTGGTGAAGAATATTGAGATTATCAAAGACTGCTAAAACGACAAACAGATCTGCCTTAGAAGTAGGGTCAAAGTGCTTCTTAGAGGCAAGGGTAGGGAGCTTTCATCCTGCAAACTTTGGACATGTCAGGAGAGACCAGTCCCTGGAGGATCTCATGCTTGCTAAAGAAAGGAGAAAGGCAGCAAAAGGAGGAGGGCCCTCAATGAGAAAGCTCGCATAGATGCTGCAGCAATGGGCTCACGCATAGGAACCATTGTGGGGCTGCCACAGGATTGGGCAGTGTTTTGTTCTGTTGTGCATACATCACTATTGGTTGTTACCAACTCAATCGCATCTAACAACAGTATTTATTCCATTGCGTGCGCTGTTGTTAGGTGCCATCAAGTATATACCACATTTCACCTATCCATCTGTTGGTGGGAACGTAGATTATTCACTTTTTTTTTTGGCTCTAGTACTGCAAAGCACATAGCTTGTATATGCTTGCCCTTAACTGAAGTCACTCTTCCTAATAGTGTTGATCGTAAGCATTATTGAGTGATATCCCTAAATCTAGATAGTTAAAAATATTGACATTTAAAATTATAAAACTTAAAATGTTACTGCCTTTTAAAAAAATTGTTTTATTAGGGGCTCATATGACTTATCACAATCCATACATACATCACTTGTGTAAAGCACATTTGTATATTCATTGCCCTCATCATTCCCAAAATATTTGCTCTCCACTTAAGCTCCCGGCATTAGGTCCTCATTTTTCCCCTCCCTCTCCCCTCCCCCATGAGCCCTTGATAATTTATAAATTATTTTGTCATATCTTGCCCTGTCTAACGTCTCCCTTCACCCACTTTTCTGTTGTCCGTGCCCCAGGGAGGAGG